TTGCAGATTTTGTTTGAACCTGTCTCCTTAGAATCTTTAGACCAAAATCACAAAAGCTTTCTCTAAGATTTCATCACAGACAACACAGAACCAAAATATCACCCCACACTCTACATTTTCCTTATCTTGAGGGACCTGCCCTCTGCACTCAGCAAACACTTGCCCTGAGCACCTTATGGGTGATGGAAACTATGATGGAGTCTATTGGCACACATCACTCAGAGAAGGATTCTCCAGCAATTTCATGTACTCCTGAGAACATATTTCATAAGGACACATTTTATTTTCTGAGACAAAATCAGAAGTTGTTAGGAACTGTGTCCCCTTTTCTTCAAATAAAAAAAAAATGCACCTTTCACCACCCCCTGCTCCAAGAGCTCTCCAGATTTTCTAACCAACAATTTCAAGGACCATAGTTTCAGGAGTTTCAGCACTTCATGACACACAAGGCAAACAAGACAGAGAAATAAGGAGAGGAAGAGTAGATGCCACTGAAAACTTCATTCATTTAATGAAGGTAGTAGCAAAACTGGTGCTTCTTTAGAGTGAAATCAATGAATACTAAAGATGAGAGTAAACATGCCAGTTGCCGACAGCCACATGGCTACCCCATAATCATGGAAAGGGTTCACTTCTCACATGGCACTCAGAATCAGGGTCATAGTGTCAGGTTCAGAGAGGTGGCTCAGCCAGCAAATTATTCCATGGTTTTTTCCCTCAGATCCATACCCTGAGCTTGGTTTAGCTGTTCTACCCAGCAAAAGGGAGTCCTGAGCTAGTGAAGATTTCATTCCCATCTGTAGACCACTTTAATGAAAAGCTTCATCTTGCCAGCGTAATGCTCTTTAAATTGACCATCCTTGCAATACTTGTGCCTTTTGATCCACTGCCTCTCATAAAACTGGCTAACCTTTAAGTTCATTATGTTCTTAAAAATATTGCTATGTTCTTAAAATCATTGCTCTGCATTTAGAGAGTAAAACTATTCACCAAATTAGTATGTCATATCTGAGCTACCTACCTTTAAATTTCTAGTTTCTCCATTTAAGTGGAATTGACTTGCCATAGCACAACGAAAAGAAGATCAATAATTACAGACTTCAATTTGCGATAGATTTGTTAAACTTCACTCCCTGCTGTCATATCCTCAATAGTTATGGTCAAAGCTACATCCTCTCAATCTGTTCTAGCTACATTACATATGCCTCAGTCTTCCAAACAGACAAAGGAAACCAGCTGGAAACAGTGCACTTAATGTTATCAGTGAAGACTGTGTCCATCTACATGACTGTGCCCTCAAGAGGTTACAGACAGCATAACTTCCACCTCAGTTGTCGTTTCTTTGAAGCAGTCCAAGAGAGATGTCCGGGAAGCATGGTCTGAGAAACCACAGCAGCAGTTTGCGAGCTGTGGACTGCAGACCACTGACATCCACTGCAGAAAAGATTGGCCTTGGGGAGTCGGACACTTCTTGTCACCCTCAAATTACCTTAGAATAAGCTAAAAGCACTGTTTTTCATGCAAGCAGTTGCTGTAATGGCTACAGAGCTGCCACCTGATCATGTATGGGAAAGAAAGAGGCTCCCACAATTACAAATGGGAGGAAAAATCTATGATGCAATCTTTCTAGTAGAAACAGAAACACAACATGTTTTATCCCAGAGTCACCTTAAAATACATGTATCCTCTGTAACCAGGATCATCTGAAATAGCAAATACAGACTAAGTACATAGGAACAAGCAATATCCAAAGAGCCCTTCTGACTCTGCCTAGATCTGCAATTTCTTGCAGGTTCTGCCATTCAATTTTTATCAGAAGAGCAGATTTATGGTAAAAGCACTCATGAATAATTCACTCCCTTGAGCTGCCACATGCAACTTAGGGAAATCCCAGCTATAAAACCTTGGCACCATTTAGCTAGCACAAGCCACACTACTTTTTTACAGGTGTTATTCCACTGACCTACTTGGGAGCTATTCCTCCTTCAGAGTGCTAGAAGAAAAGGATCAGGCTGTTTGCTTACAAGCTCTGGTAAGAAAACCTCTTTGCCATATCCTCATAGCAGTAAAAATGCTTCTAGTGTTGGACTAAGTTTTAGCTTTGGCTCACCACAGCTTCAGTGGCTGGTGCATCTCCTCTGCTCTTGGGCCTCCAATAATAATCCATTTTTCGCTGGTTTACTTCCTCCTCAAGTTCATGTTTTTAAATCATGTTGAGAAACTTACTTGGATCCTAAACAGAAGGAGCACAACTAAAGCCATAAACTAGCTACACTGAACTTGTCTTCATGTTGGTTTCTAACTTCAAGAGAAATATGGTTTATTCCAACACTCATCATGTGCCACTGGAGCAAAAGCCCCAGCAGGGCATGGGGGAAGACAAAAAAAAAGTGAAACCATTTAGCTAACACAGAGGATGAGTTAATAGCATCACTCAGTGGCTGCTTATTTTCCTAGGCTTTTCCATATACAAAGCTAGGTGAGAGTGCTTCTTCACAATTAAAAAAAAAAAACAAACAAACATTTATAAGGGTTTTATTTTATTTGATCTCTAACTGGAGACCAACTAAAATGACAGTGACTATGCTGCCACCAAGCCACATTCAAAGCCCACATCATGATATAGAGCTACACCTACAACTGCATTACAGGGAACAAAGAGCTGGCATTCCCTGTTTGTAAATAAGGTGTACAGCTCACAGCTATCTTGACATAAAACAAGATAATAATTATAGGCCTAAGTTAGACATCTGAGTAAATGAAGTAATGTCATTTAAACAATTAACCTACACTGATTTACAGCAGCCAAGGAAGGACCTGATGAGGGATCTAAGAAACTCCTCTTTACCCTAATATGTCCCTTCAGTTTATCCAAATTACTGGCTTTCACCACTTGGCCTCTCCCTTGTGCCCCACAGTTAGGTTTTAAGCAGGTTAAGAAATGACAGTCCTCACTTTGGTCTTTTCTTACACACTTCCAGCAGTGCTGAATGAAATGCGAGACAACCATAAAAGCCAGCAGAGGGGAAAATTAGACATGCTGCGTAACTAATTTCTGAACTGTAAGCAAAGTTGTTGGCAATTTTCATTTCATATCACAGGTTCATGTTTCTTTGAACTGTCACCCACTGAGAACAAGCACTAGCTGTTCATGCCCTTCCAGACGGGATGGAATGCCGCCTGGTCAGCTCGGACAAGCTTCAGGGGTTGCCATGGTGTGCTCTGAAGGAACCTCTCACCTCCTTCTCCAGGAGCCACCATCGTGCCTCAGAGAAGGGTGCATGCTATCCTGCCTCAGAGAAGGGTGCATGACTTCAGCCCACACAAGTCATGGGGAGCAGGGTTCCTCCTGCATCCCCTAGACACATGCCCACTGCTGGAGCTGCCGTATTTGCTGTGGTGGCTGTAAGCAAACAGATGTAAGCTCCCCTGCCAGCCCTGCTCCACAGACACACAGGGGAGCATGGTCACAAGAAAAGGGCCAAATGCAAATTAAAACCAGATGAGCCGAGACAGCAGTTGGAAAGAGGGGGTGGTTAAAGCCTGTGACAGCTCTAAGTGAAAATAGTCAGACAAAGCGGGCTTGCAGATTGTCACTGAACTGAGAACCTCCTCCACCCCCAACTGCCTGGCTGGAGCTGTATAATGGAACAGGTTTCAAGAAACCGCATCTCCCAGCAGAGTTAACTCTCCAGCAGCTGCTGCACTTTCAAATTGTCAGACAGATTAAACACAGAAATGCCTGTGGGTCACAAAGCTGAGGGAAGGGTGAAGTGATAGGGTCAGCTTGCTCTAAAGTGCAGAAACTACTCAAAAAGTTGGAGACAGGATTCCCTGTGGCCAGGAGGGAGTTACACTGGTATCATCTTGCTGAAGGCTTGGCACATGGCCCTTTCCCAGACTCAGCTGTCCTCACCAAGCTGGACAGTTAGTGGAGTTTTTGTCTTGTGCTTCCTTATAAGCTGCAGTCACAGCATGTAACCAGACTGCCCGTGCAGGGTAAGTGCCTGTTTGGAGGGGAAAGAAATGAGGGTTCCACCAGAGTGTCTTTTGGGGCATGAGCCAGGGAGCCTGGCTGGGACCAGGTGCTGCAGGGCACCCAAAAAGCTAGCACCTGCACTGCCTCAGCACCCAAAGCTCAGAGAAACATGTTACCTTATGGGGACAAGTGCATGTGTGCAGTGGAGCTAAAGTGAGTGCCACTGATCTGCGTGTCACTGATGACAAGAGGGTGATGATTTACTGGGAAAAGTGCCCTGTAAAAAGCATGCTTGTGGATCCTATTTATTGTCTCATACCCTTCAAATACTCTTACAGTTACAAAGACACCACACAATTACAAGTTAGAGAAAAGAGCGGAGGTAATTCTCCCACACAGTCTAGCCCATGGAGCCAACAAACCTGTGGCACCATCAGCAGGCGGCATGGGTCAGCCAGCCCAGCAGGGCTCCTCCCAGGAGATGGTGGGCCACCTCCACCAGGGATAAACAATCCACACTTCAAACCTGGGCCAAAAGCTTGTTGCCAGATCCATGCAGCTGCAGAGAGCAGAGTTGGAGGGAGCTCTGCCAGTAATAGAGGTAAGAAGGAGAAAGAGAGGTTGTTCCCATACAACACAGCCTCTCCTCTGCCAAACCACAATGCTTCATGTGGATCTGTAGCCCACATGTTTCTCCAGGTACCTCCAACTCAGCTATGCTGTGATGGAAACTACAACCCACAAAACTGCTGAGAAGATGCTGGTCCACAGAAGTCACCTTGCCATGCAAGCTCTCAAAGGTCCCATAATGACCAGAGCACAAGAGAGCACAGGCCACTGTGTTTTTGGGCCACATTCAGGCAGCCACACAAGCAGCTCAGTCGCTGAGGGAGCCAAGTGGTCTCCCTTGCTAGGAGAAAGTTTGACTCACTCCCTCCTCTTCCCAAAGCACCAGAAGAGTCTCCACATGAGCAAACAGACAGCCTGGACATCTCCATCCCCTCACTGCAAGAGCACTTACCCCCCAGGAACTGGATTCCTCCTGCCACCCTGCCCACAGTCCTGGAGATGAGCTCGGACACACAGCAGCCCATGAGCGCTGTCAGGGCCACCAAGAGAAGCAGCCCGCAGCCCAGGCCCGTCACCACCGTGCAGATCCTCCACTCGGCGCTCGGGATGGCCTGGAAGGAGGCGTAGCGGCCACACTGCTCCACCATCACGGTCATCTGGCGGCTCTCATCCCGCACCGGGTAGGAACACCTCCGGAAAGTGCCGAAGGAAACAGACTTCTCCAGCTGAGACCCCAAGAGCCAGTAGGGCATGAAGAAGCCAACACAGGAGGTGGCAGCGCAGAGGAAGGAGAGGAACGCCCAGACGACGCCGGCACAGGTGAGGCTGGAGGCCATCTTTGTATCTGCTCCAAGACCCCTCACGATGGGAAGACACAAAAGTGACTGTGTATTTTAGAGAAGCTTTATGGATAGTCTGGAATCTCTCAGCCTTGACAAATCCTCACACTGGAAGAAACTTGGATCCTAAGAGCCAGGGGAATATTTCCTCCCATCATGAAGTCAAAGGTCCCTAATTAAATAACAAAACACAAAAAAGGAGAAAAACACAAGGTCAGTAACACTGACATTAGAAAAAAAATATTTGTCTGCCAGAGTGTTTTTCCTTTCTAGAAGACTTCTAAAGAAGACATGTCACTTTTCTGTCCCTACAATCACTCTTAGTGACACTAGCTTCTGTGGTCAGTGCGATGGTGGTGACCAGCAGCACAGCTGGAACAGGCTGCTGTGCACATCCAGGAATGCTCTGCACTCACCTTCGTGGGTCCCCCGTGTACTCGCCTCACTTTTCTCCACTGCAAGTCCCAACCTTTTCAGTACTGATAGACAAAACAGATAAGATCTTGCTTATCCTTAGTTAGCTAGACCTTCCTTCTGCAATGCCTGGAGAATGTACTTCACTTTATAGATGATCCTGCAGCTTCAGTGCAGAAAAACCCACAGCAGCTAAGGCATTTCAAGATCAGACTCTTGTGACACAGGTAAAACTTATTAACACACCCTCAAAAGAAGTGATATGAGATGACATTGTTTCCAGCACTCCAACTTGTTTGGCATCCCTGTGCAAAAGGAGCCTTTTATCACTTGATGTCCCAAAGTGCCACTCCAGGTGGGCTTCTGGTAAGTGAAAGCATTGCCACATCTTTTGGATTTGCCCCTACACAACCTCAAGGAGCACACAATTAAAACACACAGGTCTCTCTTAATAGTCCTCCTTGCATTCAGCCCAGCTCTTCTTTGCTTCTTCCCAGCTCAAACCCAGGAAGGAGCCATAACCCCTTTGTATCCTTCCCAGACAACTCCCAGCCTCTCAGCTCAGTATCAGTGTGCCCAAGTGCATTTGACTGTCACAGAAACCTACATGCTGTTCCCAGAGGCTGGGGGTGTATTTCTCGTTAAATTCATGTTGGATCATTATTCTAACTGCATTTGTAAATTTATGATCATTTCTCACAGTTGCTGCCAAATTAATTCTGATAGCTATTTACAGGGGCTTTTTCTTCTAAGCATGATTAGACAGCAATCAGTGAATCCAATTCATGAAAAGGCAATAAAATGAATACTACTTCAGCACAAGGAGGGAATGTAGAGAAAGTCTGTAAGTGAAATTAGCCATGTGCACCACACAAAAGTTTTGCTTACTTTTAAAACACTAAGAAAGGGAAGTATCTTCTGTAATATTAAAAAGGCCTATACTGCTACTGAAGAAGAGTACACCTATCTACCCGTAGCATACCCACAGAAACGTCTTTCAACCTGCAAACTGCCAAACCCCCGGGGATAAAAACTTGCCAGAGAGGCATGGCGGGGGACACCACTTCTTTAGAAGCATCATCTAGAGAAGGATGTGTCTGTGTCTTGGCGTGGCACCAAAAGTCTAAGCCAAAATGGGTCACAGCACTTAGGGGAGATCATTCCCTGAATCGCAGGAGGAGGTACGGCTGGAAATAGCGGACAACATGGAGTGTCCCAGGGTAGGACACTGCAAATCTTGCGGCTCCAGCGGGGTAGCAGTTAGGCTCGCTGGAGCCTGCCAGCTCACAGCCTGGGCGCTGTACCGGGAGGCGGGCTCACCCCTCCGGCCCCGAAACCCCGCTCCCCGCCCTCCAGGGGTAGGAGGGGGCGGCGGAGAGATACGGCTTCCCCCGAGGGAAGGCGGCGGCCAGGAACCAAAACTCGCCGGGTTGATGCCAGGGAAAAACTGCGGGAGAGCGGGCGCCGGGCCCGCGGAGCCAGCAGGGTGGGAGGGTGCCGGGCGGGGCGGGCAGGGGTGCAGGGGACCTGGGAAGGGCAGGAGATCCTAGAGGGGCAGGAGACACGGGAGGAGAAGGTGTTTCGGGGACAGAGGGTCCAAGAGGAGCGGAATGGGAGGGAAAGGAGAATGCGGCCGGGGACGGGCTGGAAAGGCAGAAGTGCCGAGAGTGTGGGGAATCCCAGTACCCAAGAGGACGGAGAGCCGGGAAACTGCGGGGCCGGGAAGGGAGAGCGGTCCGGAGTGGCTTACGGGAAAGACGGGGGCCCGGGAGAGGAAGGATTCGAGAAGACAAGAGGATGAGAGGGCTGGGAATCCGAGCAGGCAAGGGAGTCTAGAGGGTCCAGTGCAACGGGCAAGGGATGCGGCTAGGCTGGGTGTCAGAGCGGGGAAAGGGAATGCAGGAGGGAAAGAGGGTCCGGGAATGCAGGGGATGTGGCCGTGCAGGGTAGGGAAGGGTCGGAGAGGGAAAGGACGTTCTGAAGGCTGGAGAATCCGGAGTCATGAAGGGGATGCAACGTACCGGGAGCGAGGGAGGGCAGGGGTTCGACAAGGGAAGGGGGTGCAGGGAGTCTGTAAGGGGCAGGAGATTCAGCCGCGCATGGAGCGCGAGAGAGCCGGTGTCTTGAAGGAGCAAGAGCGGCGAAGGGTCTAGGAGTGCCAGGATGGGGGCAGGCGCGGTGCCGGGAGCGAAGGGCTACTTACGGACATGCCGGGCGTGGAGGCTGCCCGCCGCGGCTGCCGGGAGCACATGGGCGCGGGGCCGGCGGGTGGCGGCCGCCCCAAGCGGCTCTACCCGCGGTCCCGGCGCGGAGGCGACGCGGGTGCTCCGAGGCGGGCGGGACTGGGACCGGGACCCTCCCCAGCCTGGCCCGTCCTTTCCTCCGCGCGTTCCTCTCTCCCCCCGTTCGATTCCTCGGGAGGCAGCGCACTCCGCCGCCTCTCCTCCCCCTTCCCCGCCACCGCCTCCCCGGGCGGGACCCGCCGCTGTCGGCGCAGTTGCGGGGCCGCGGACGGGGCCGGGGGCGAGGGGCCGGGCGGCGGCGGGGAAGCGGCGAACGGGAGAACGGGGGCGCGTCCCCCAGCCTTCACGGGGCGGGGCGGCGGTCCCGACCCGCGGGGTCGCTGTGGGGGTGGGTCCCGGTTTCCCGAGCCCGCCCTGGACTGCGACGGGGGGGTCTCGGGTCCCGGGGCCGGAGCGGTGGGTCCCGGGGCCGGGTTGGTGCGGGGGTGGCGGGGAGCGCTGCGGCGTCGCCGGGTTCGGCGGCTCAGTGCGGGGTGCAAGGGGCGGTGAAGCAGGGGACGGAGAGGAGGAAAGAGCAGGAGAGGAGAGGGGGGAAAGACAGCGAAAAAATGAGTATTTTAAGGAAAGGAGGAAAGTTGCAGTCCTTACATGGGAAAATATGGGCTAATCTCCTGATGGTGTGCGTGTGATAAGAACTGTGTCTGTCTCTGCTTGCGAGCTGCTGATCCAGCATTTTGATCGCAACAGTTCCCGAGTTGGTCTACAGAGAGAGTAAATGTGATCACAGTACCAAGCTGCTCCTCCTGGACGAGTTAGGTCAAGCGGAGAAACAGGAGCTTCAGCCTTTTCCCAGAGTGTCTTAACTGGGAAAGTTTTGAGGAGAGGTTGACTTCTGTACAGAGAACCTCCGGGAGAAAAAGACATTTCCCATTCTGGTTTTTCCTCTATGCCCAGAAACGTGAATATATTTCTCAGATAAAAGACAATTTTATGACAGGTTTAAATTATGTCAGCACTAGACATGCAAAATCTCTTTGCTAATGTTTCTTTTACAGTCCTGGTGTGTAATTTAAACACCATTCATTAATATTAGTAATGCTAAATGGAAGTGAGGTTTATTGCACTCAGTCTGCATTTACACCATTTAATAGTAATAGCAGTTATTTTCAGAATTGAATTACAAAGTCGCTTTATTGTATTTTTAAAATTAGACTTCAATTTTTTTCTCTGTAATGCAAAGTCTTAAAATCAGAATATTACTGAAAATGCATACTTTCTCAAGGGATAAGAAATGGATTGGAAAGTATCTAGCATGATAAAGTTTTCCACGCTAACATTTCAAGTATATTTAAGGAAATGTGCCTCAAAAAATCAAAGAAGTGGGTTAAATGTGGGCTGAATGCTAGAATATATGCAATAAAATACTCCACAAGGAAGACAGTGAAGACATAACCCCAAAGCAGCCATACCAACAGCTGACTACCCCTAGGCTACATCCACCTAGTATACATCTATACTAGCAAGTAATGTGGATCAATCTGGTGTTGGATCTCATGGTGTTGAGGGCCCAAGTGATGTTCACACTTTTCAATAGTATTTTCTTCAGTTTTAGTCCTGGCTGGGTCTGTGAACTGAGCGCCCCATGAGAACTCAGAATGCATCTGACACACTCCTGGCACCCGTCTTTTGCTATATTGCTGTCTGAATCCACACTGTGTACTCACCTCTGCTGGGTAAAATAAAATGTGGTAAGTGAGGATGATCTGGAGATTCACTTCAAAAGCACACCCTTGATCCACACCAAGACATGAAAGTGGATGTGCCCACAGGGTGTCAGACAGAAAGGGAGCTGGTATGACTTTCCCAAAGCTGAGAGCTGGAGCCTGCTCCACAGCATACCATTCCAGTATCCTCGCCTCAAATCACCTTTCCACCTGGTGTTGTGCCTCCATCCCCAAGCATGCATGAGCTCTCAGGTCTCCACTTCTGCAAGGATCTATGCACTTTTTGGAGAGTGTAGACACTTCCTGTTTACCACTCACACGTCTTCACTTGGCTCAGTGTGGTGTTCTACCCCCTGCTATTCATTTTACCAGTGACTGAAATGACAGGGATACTAAGCTAATACTGTGTCAATGGAACTCTGCTCTTAGTGTAAAGAAAAGGAAGAATTGAGTACTGTTATTAAATGGTTGTTTAATTGCTTAAAGCCTGAGATCTGTCATTCTTTTCTTAGCCAAAGGCCTGGGTTATAATGAAACTGTGATAAATATGTCTAAATTAGGCATGTGACATGGGTAGAAATTGCCTGGCATTAAAATGACTGTGGAAAAACTTCTGTTTCACACATGGAAACTGTTTCTCAGTTAAAATTGGCATTGGAAGCCTAGGGAGAAGCAAACAAGCATGAATTTATTCATGCAATTTATCTCTTCCATGGTATATGCCAAGGTCCCCAAGTCAGTGTTTGCTTTGCTAATGGCATCTCTACAGCAGTTGATTTATTTGCCTTATATGGCCTGTACATTCACTCCCTGAGCTGCTGCCATTCTGCTTTCTCTCATGGAAACTGTACATTGAATTCTGCATCTCTCCTGAAGCATCTTATTTTGCCAACTGTCTCTGAATGCCCCCACAAGCTTGCTTCATGGCTTAGTCACTTGCTGGGAAATAAGCTTTATTTCACAATTCCTTTTCTGTTCAGGGAGTTTTGTTTTGATTAGGAACAAATTAAACACATTGTGTTTATAAGGTAACATCCAAATTTTCCATTTTCTCCTAATGTTTAAAACTCATCATGCTTCAACTGTATCAACATTTGATTCACCTTTTAGGATGATTGTGCATGGAATTATTTTACTTGAAAGTTAACTGAAATATTTCTATCCCAGTCTAAGCTGTTCAAAAGAAAAGGGGAGCTATTACATAGTGCTTTAGGATTCACAATCTGTCTTGCTACCACAAAAGCAGATACTTCCTCAGAATATATCAATAACAAAACACATGGTCCCCAGGGTCTCATCTAGACTGAAATAGCAACTGGTTTTAAAATTGGTCCTTGTGTTTTGAATTTTAAAAAAATCCAATTATGAGAAATCTTCCTAGTTGGTCAAGGGAGCCTGAGCCATGGATTACCCTCTGCTGCAACCACTGAAGTCAGACTGAATCAAACACTCATGAATACATTGTCAGAAAACTACCCTAGCAGGGAGATGAAAATGCTTATAGATTTTACCATTTTACTTCTCCTCAATCCATTGACTAAGTTGCTGTTACAGCTGGGGCACAACAGACTTGATGGAGCTAATCAGCACAGCAGAATAAAGACAGAAAATCCTGTCACTGCACCTAAATCAATCCTGGCTAATATACACATCACAGGCTCGACCACAGACTCTTTCACTACACTATGACTTGTAAGACAACATCAAATCTCATAGGGGAATATGCATGTTCCTGAACCCAAAAGAAAATGAAGCAGCTACCAAACCTCCATCTCATTCTTCAGTCTTTGCCCAGAAAACAAACCAAAAGAGTTTTATCTTTCAGGCCACCTTATGTTTTTGATTGTGTGGTCTGCAGAAAAGTGATCACACCAGCATGGTTCCGAGCATCTCACAAAACTGGATCTTCAGGTCGTGTCTGTACTCGATTTTAAATAAAAAATGACAGTATATGTACAAAAATAGACTTGAGGCTATGCACTGGGAGCAACAGAAAGTCAATCCAATTATTCAAATATAGTCACTGAAAACCAAACAGACAAGTACTGCTAGAGAAATACCCTGATAATTAGTATATTTGCCTGAAATTATGTCCAATCTTGCAGCAGCTAGGGAAAAAAAAAATCAACTAAACAGACAGGAAAAGAGAACCTCAACTCAAACACCTGAAAATTTCTCAGAGGAAGGTAAGAAAACAAATTCAAGCGACCAGATCCTGTCCATCTGTATGGTGTCCTTCCAAGTCAAATAAATTGCATATTTTCTTCTGTGGGTAGAACTAGACACCTGGGGGTTTGACCTGTCCCACCCAGACCTGAAATTTGGCCTATAAACTTAGCTCTAACCAAAAGATCCTCTCTCCACTTCTATTTTAATACTATCCTATCATCAACGCTTATTTTTCTGGTAGTTCTAATAGTGGTAAATTTTGTGAATTCTATTACGAACAATTTATAACAAAACTTGCCATATTTCTGAAAGATAGTTGTCTTACACAATGCCGTTGTTGCTAACATTGGTCTTTTAATCTCTGGGTGCACATAAAAATAATATGTTGATGCAAAACAAAAGAGGAAAACAATCTTTATTATTTGCCATAAACCCTTTGCATGTTGTTTCATCTTTATGAAGTTATTATTTATCATCTATTATATAAAAGCCACCAGGTACTCTACATTTTGCAAGGCTCTAAAACAGTGGCTACAGCTATTGATTTTCTCTTTTGTGTCCTGTTGTTGACAAGCCTGGTGGCTGTGGGAGAGGCCAAGGAGTTTTATTCTGCACCAGCCCCTTGGCTGAAGGCCTGCTCTGCCCTTGCAAACACGGCCAGAGTGACTGAACTCTGAGATTACAGGTCCCAGACCCATCCTCCTTTACCTGGAAATTGTCTTAGCCTTGCACAAACTCATGAAAAACATGGCTGTTTTCGATCCTTAATTGGACTTTTTAAAATAAGGAACATTTGGATGATGAACGAGTGATTTCCCAGTAAGAAATGCTCATCTACTGGCAGCCTGCTTTCTGCGCATGTAGACCCAATACAAATAATTTAATAGTGTCATCTTACTTATGAGTGGGACACCTGTCTATCTTCCCCAGATTCCGGTAAAGGAGGATGAGAGGAACGTACCAAGAGCAGGTCTTGCCGCGGTGCTCTCTCGCACTAAGCGGCGGGCGCGTTCGGAGACACGGGTTTGTTTAAGGACACGTGCAACAGAAAGACGCTGTTTCTTTCCGCTTCAAACCTCAGTCCGGGATCAGCTTTCGGCAGGAGGTGCCAGTTTCCGCGCCGGACCCGGAGCGCACCGGTGCCCCGGCGATGGGTGCCCGGGGCGCTGCGCTGCGCTGCGCTGCTCGACAGTGACACTCGGTGGGCGGCGGGGCCGGAGCAGCGCCGGGGGCGGCCCGGGGCAGGGCGGGCTCACAGCTCCCGGCCCTGCCCCGGCCCCGGCCCCTCCGCAGCGTTTGATGCGGCCGCAGACGAGGAAGGGAGTGTGTGTGAAAAGCGGGGGCAGAGAGCAGAGCGTGCTTCTCCTCTCCGTAAAACCTCTGGGATTCGTAACCGCCCTGGGCCACTGTCCTGAGGCTTCTAAGGTGCCTTTGCAGAACTCAAAGGCGACTTTTAGCGGTTTGGTTAAACTGGGTGTATCTGAGAAGGGGGCTCAAGGCAGCGTCCTGTTCCTCCCCCAGTCATTTTCCACAGAACTGGAGCAGAGCTGCCTCTCCCCTTGAGTTCCAGCAATCACTTGCATCTAGGTCACCCTATTAGATCACATTCCCAAGGATATGGCTAATGATTTCTGGGGTTTTTAGAAAGGAAAGCTGAAAATCCTCGAGTTGGGGACAATGGCCAATTCATTTTCCAAGTGGAAGCTCATTTCCTCCCCTCCCCATCGCACCCTGAGGGCTGTACAGAACTCAGGGACTCCACAAAGCTGGAACTTCTGAAATCTCACAGAGATTCATCCACAGAAGAATTGTAATGCCAGCTCTTGTCAGCTGAAACCCAAACAGAACTCACTTCTAGGTGTATCAATGTCCGAAACATGTTCTCAGTGGGGGAAGAACCAAGTCCTTTTATTTTACAACTCTCCAAAAGGCTTGTCCTTAGTAAATCCAGTATGTATATAGCATTCATATACCTACACGGGCATGCATTTACTAGACATATGTGTATTTATAATACAGATATATGGATTATATACATATCTCTATAATACATATATAGGTATAGATACAGGAGACCAGGCTGGTCAAGCAGGACGTGGCTTTTTAAAATCCGTGTAGGCTGGGCTTGATCCCCTGGTTGCCCAGTATGGGCCATGCAATGGCATTCAGGATATCTCTTCCATAACCTTCCTGGTGCCCAGGTCAGGCTGACAAGCCTGTAGTTCCCCAGATTGTCTTTTCAACCCTTTTTGTAGATGGGTGTAACATTTGCTAATTTTCAGTCAGCTGGAACTTTTACAGTTAACCAGGACTGCTGGGTGATTGAGAGTAGTTTGGCAAGTTCTTTTCGTTAGTTCCCTCAGTATTCTGGGGTGGATCATCAGGGCCCATAGACTTGGGCACGTCTAATTGTCATAGCAGGTCACTAATCATCTCCTTCTGGTTTATGGGGGCTTCACTCATCTCCCATACAAGCTCTGGGAAGATATCTTAACCCTCTCTGGGAAGGTTCAGCACTGAGAGTGTTCTCTCGATATTATATTGTAACAAAATAACCTACTCATAGATTGTGCTTTTGCAATATAACTACATATTTCAATATTCCTTTTCCTGATGAAAAAGCTAATTAGCAAGGTCGTTAGTTACCACTTATAAAGGGAAAGATAGTAATTCCACTAATGTGCTCACAGGAACTTCATTTATATTACCTCTTAACCTTTACAAGGATATTACAATTTCAATAATTAATTGCTTTTTGCAATTTAATTTGCAGTTTACCATTTTCAAGGGAAATTGCCCATTAAAGCAAGGGGTTTTAAGGAAAAAATCTTTACTCGAGTATAGATCACAAGCTGGCCTCACAGAAACTAGATATTTGCTAAGCCATTTTCATATTTGAGTAGAGCGAACTCTGTGCTATCTCTGTATATTAAAGAACTGCCCACTGCTTGAGTCTTCAGACATTTGCAGAAAAATAAGGTAGAATGGAGCTCAGAATGGAGCTTTGGAGGCAATGACAAAAAGGGAATTAATTCTTATTCTCTTCCTTCAAATTTTCAAAGGCAATGAATCCTTCCTCTCTTATTGATGCAGTAAGAATTTGCTTTCTTCTTCCTTTGCACCCATCTTGTTTCTTCAACTGAAGTTAATTTATGCTGCAATACCCATCCATGAGGACTTCTGTTAACCTCAGTGACTGAAAAAAAAAATGGAACTTTGGTTCAACCTCATAAAACACAGAAATTCTGTCCATGAATCACCAAGAACTTAGGTATATCCTCAAGACAGTGCCTGACACTTTGGAAAATGGAGCTCAACATATGTATTCCTGCTCACACCCAAGTCTCTTGTAAAACAGCTACTAAATGAATCAGACATAAACCAGTATCCAGTAGTATGCTGACATATCTCCACTACTGATAGTAGAAATTGTGTCCAAATACCATCACACTAAAATAAATTTAGATAAATAGTGGTATCTGAAAAGGTGAATAATGCATTCCAAGTGGGCATGCCTGTGATAGAGTAAAAGACATACTTCTGAGAGAGGGATTTGCATGGGGATGGACAGAAGGTGACAAAGAAGAGAAGAGGCACAGAAGAGGGAACAGAAGTAGCAGGTATGAACTAGACTGCAGCACTGATTTATGAATGAAAATGTAAATATTTTTTCTGATTCAGAAGGAAAAATTAAACTAGCCCTTGGGCAGTTCTACCTTGTCAACTGGCAAGTCCATGATATGTCACCCAAAATGATATACATCTGCATGATATGTCACATGCCTACAGTCAGCAACTAGATAATTTTGCAGCGAAAACAAGAGATTTTATTTTTTAATTGTAAAATCAAACCTCTTGGGTTTTTTATCCCTTTCCCCATGAGTACAAGGAGAACCTGGGATTACATTGGGATTCAAACACAGTATTTCATTTCCACAGTACTGAAGCTGGGGCATACTCTTAGAATTATTTGTAGAAAAGTCAAAAGTCACTGTCAGACAAATAGGGGTAAAAAAAAAAATTGTCTGCTCAACAGTCCAGCGCGCAAGTTTTCTATGCAGTCAGAGGAGAAGACTGGGTAGGAATCTGAGGATGACTTGCATTCTGAAAGTGCCTTTCTTTCCATGCTCTGATAGATGGTTAACTGTGGATTTTACGTCTGACTTTTAGGCGTTAGAAAACTGCTGAGATGTATCCCACTAAAGGTTCTTAGTTTTGTCTGCAAGTGTGCAGATATTCAAGTTGAAGAGAGCAAGAATAGATTGAGGCCACTTAAGAGTTCCATATATCAGCAATGGATCAGCAATTACATCACAGTAAAATAATCTGCTTTTTGACCAGTAAAATGAAAGTCTAGCTCCAGGCCAGCATGGGCATTTCTTGTCACAAGCTTTCTTCAGTGAGGTACAAATATGTTAATTTTGCCAGTTCGCACTGCAATCTGGTTAAAGCACCTGATGCTTTTCCTTGAGATATTACCTTGCCTATATTATTAGTACTCTAGACTTTATCACATAAAAGAAGATGTATGGGATAGAAGCAGAAAGAAGCTTCTAATCATCAAAACTAATGTAAAAATATCCTTTCAAAACCTCTAGACTGGCAGTTCACTCAACATGACATTTGCTTTTTGACAGGCATGTGCTCTGCATGAGCAACAATATTTTAAGATGACATTATTTAAAGAAAGTTGACAGTGATGAGTGATGTATATTCAGACTGATTCTGAAGAGAGCTTTAACTGCATGGACAAGAAAGTTGCTTCTAGTTTGCATGCAAAAGGAAGCTTGGGGTCTATTCTGGGGAACTTGATAATCTCTTGTAATTAGTACTGTAATTGGAGGTTGCTGGAAATGCTCCTTGAGCTTCTGCCAGGGAATGTGAGTGCTTCACAAAGCTGTTGACACCATTCTGTACACCCAGCCTCACCAACCAAGTCAGCTGCAGTAGATGCCAACACAGAACTCCTGCTTTGTCAAAACTCTCATCTAAGCAGAAAACACACAATGCTTTTTCCTTCCAGTGTAGACACAGAGCAATACCAGTACTAGCCAGCCCATCACCATGATCCCCCAATGTCCTGCAGCCCACTGGTGATCCCAGGACACACTAAGTCACCTTCAGGCTGCCAGTTCTTGGCAGAGACTCATTCCATCCCCACTATTTCAGACTGTAAATGGATAAATATGAGTCACATATACCAAAGTTTAGAAACAACACTTGCCTGCCCTTGGGGACACACTTACTTGTTTCCAGTGCATCAGTCATGGAGATGCTAGTTCTGTAATAATGCCATGAAGGTAGAAATGACCACCAGAAAAAACAGAAGGTTTAAATGTATTTCATCTGGAGGTGAGCAGATCTTTGCATAGAAAATGTTTGCAATTCGCAGTCAACTGCTGTGACTGCAACCAGTGTCAGGCATTAAGTAATAAGTTATTTTTATACACAGCAGCTCTCCAGCATCTCTGAGGGTGATGGCATCTCGCCAAGGCTTTGGAAGGGCTGACACACAAAGATGAATGGTTGAGGCAAGCCCAGATGACACTTCTGAGTCAACTTTACAGAAATAATCAAATCCAAATATACCAGGTAGCTCCACAGCGGGGTTGCGGAGAAGCTGTTTGGCTTGGCTCCTGACAGATGTCTGAGAGTGTGAGTTCTGGCATTTTGGAAACTTCTATTTCTCCTGAAGTAGCAATAAAGTCGCATTAAATTCACCCAAACAGAATTGTTATGAGCACTAGGAAAAGCTATTTATGACACCCATACCTATAAAATTAGGTTGATGTTGCATTACTGCTATGAAAATTGCCATGATCATCAACATGCTTCTTGCAACTTTTACTAGCAATATCCCTCAAGTGCTCTTTCACAAGACAATGGCTTTTGTGGTGAAGCTGTACAGTTTTTGCCTCATGTCCCACTACTGTTTTTTCCTTCAAGAGTTCCTTGTATGCTCATGGCTCCAGATACACTTTTGCCTGACAAAATTGTTAGCTGTAATTTAAAAGGGAGTTTCTATATGCCAGATGTCCCCGACAATATAATTTTGTCTGTTCTGTGACACTACAACATTTGTGCAGGATTTTCTGGGCTAGCAAGGTGAGAATTCTATCATCTTATGCAACTACATCCCAATCAACAGCTACCAGATCCAGCAGAGCAATTACTAACACTAAGGACTGTACTTTGGATACTGACTATGGTGAAGAAATTGCCAGGAGCTGAGAGAAGCCTGTCATACTACCCTGCTTGCTTGGAAGAAGCATGTGTGTAGGTGCAAAAAGGGCAAGAGGGCAGAAGCTGCATAACAGGAGTTTAAAAGGAGCTTTGGAAAATTCAAATAGGCTTCAAAACACAGACCAGCCAATCAATGTAATAAAAAAAAAAAGGAGAGTGGGTTTGGGGAAAGGGCTGCAAAAGTGGATTTCATTCTACATTTATGCATCTCTGGTCCTGCCAAGTGGAGTTATACTATCTTGGAGTCCTGCATGAATCCTGAATGACAGAAATATATGGTACATTTATCCCACATCTTCAGTAACTTGAACTCCAAAAACAAAGTGACCATAGTGGTTGGGTTCTGGGAATAACAAAAAATGTTTCAGTGAAGAATAGTAATTGTTGATCACTAGCTGGGAGGGGGGGGGCTTAAGGCAATACCTGAGTTTCCACTAAGGCATCACAAGAAGAGCCTGTTCACAAGAAACATACCAGAAAAGACAAAGGAGGAAAAAACTAAGAGATTTGACAGGGATCCATAAGACATGGATGCTTGATCCACAGGTCAAACTGGATTAAAATACAGCAGTTGGAGTCAAAGCTTGCAGTAGTTATGGTCTTTGTCAAAACTTGTGTTGCTGATGTACTGACTCAAAAGGTATTTTACTAATGCTGTCATTCTTGCAATTTATTAGATCTACCTTTGGTTTGATCCATATCATGAGCCTGTCATGATCTCATAGAGGGCCTTTTGGTGATCAGCTGATCTGAGGGCACTGCCCAGTAATTTAGGTATCGCTCTCTAGATTTTCTTTGCTAGACATTGGATCAGGACATAATGAAGGGTACTGTTTCTTTTTCTGATGGTGAATAATTATAATTTTTGTTCAGTTGTTTGGGTTATTTTTATTTCACCTATAAAACAGAACACATTCCAGAGACTTTTTGCCAGCAGACAGTGATTGCTTGAAGAGATAGATCAGCAGGCCTGGCACACATCATTATCATATGTTATACGTCCTGCTTGTACTTTTTTTCTGTAAAAATACTCCTTTTTGTTGCTTTATTGTCATTATAATGGTAAGCATAATAGTGAGCATATGCAAAGGAAGATAAGATTTATACTTCAGCCACAGAGTCGTGGTGTCACTAAGGTGATGCCGTTCATCAGCCACAAGCAGATATTTGTTCTCACAGCTCCATGATCTAAACCATGTGTTTCTATTTTTTCTTAGGTGAAATCTGGACCTTCACTGAAGTGAGTGGCAGTGCCATGAGGCCAGTGTAATTGACCTTGGCCAGGGATGTGGCCACATACTTTAGACAACCACTTGCTTAGAAAAGTCTTTTATTCTGTAGTGTTCTAGAATCAAATAAATTTAGATTAAACCCTATTAGTTTTGCTGATACAGTACTTCCCTTGAAAGCAATGGTTGAGGTTTTTTTGCAAGAGATGAACAGGAAGATTTCATGGGTTTGGTATGTATTAAAGTGCACACTGCACTGCTAGTGTTATCTTTTCAGTGAGTTATAACAAACAGAAGTTTTATAGCTCCTCAGCCAGGTGGCTGATTCGGCATCACATATATTACAGCCACTACTGCTGACTGTGAGCTATGACAATAAATCCTCAAGTGAGATAGCATGAGCTAACCTAAAACTTCAGAAGTGTACATCCTCCTGGACCTTCAAGGGACACAGACTATATGATTACATGTTGCTGTCAGGGTGACCTTTGGCCAAATCATTCACAGAGTCTTATTTCCAATTTCCAGATGATATCAGTATTGTCTGAGTTTAAAAAAAAAAAAAAAAGTTAGCTCAAGAAATGGATTGATTTGATCTGGTGAAAAGATTCTACAATATTAACCTCAGTGAAAATAAATCATTAAAAATCCAGCTCTAACTGACTTTAAAACAGAACATTTTCATGTGCTCCTGCCTATTGGTTGGACTTTCTAGTTCAACCTTAGCACAAAAAGACATCAAAATACTGGAGAAAGCCAAGGAAAAAGTTCATGGCAGAGAACTAGTGAAGATTATAAGGCAGTGGTGGATTTGTTTTGGGGTATGCTGTATGCAGTGGTGAGCCTGGCAAAGGCAGATTCCACTCACCGGATCATCTATAGGGACATCACCATAAAGGGCTGCAAACATTTTCACAGGGATGACATAGTTGAGCAGCTATATATCATGGCCAGCTTCCTTCAGATACTCTTCTTCACTGCAGGACCTGTAAATTGTATGCAAAATAGCACTGTCAAATTCTTTTTATCTATTATACTTTAAGAAAAATACAACTAATTATGGGTATTTGTTATACGACTTTTCATGCCCCAGACTTCATAATGCTTCCCATTCCTATGTGCCCTCTGCATCATATTGAGGCAAGTCCTTCCTTCCTTCCTTCCTTCCTTCCTTCCTTCCTTCCTTCCTTCCTTCCTTCCTTCCTTCCTTTCTTCCTTCCTTCCTTCCTTCCTTCCTTCCTTCCTTCCTTCCTTCCTTCCTTCCTTCCTTCCTTCCTTCCTTCCTTCCTTCCTTCCTTCCTTCCTTCCTTCCTTCCTTCCTTCCTCCCTCCCTCCCTCCCTTCCTCCCTCCCTCCCTCCCTCCATTTCCTTTTTCCTTCATCACAGAAATCTTTCTCACTCTCATTTTCCTATTACAACACCCATAACAAGAGCTATTCCTTCTTCTTTGTGTTTAAGAAAATATTTGCTTTATGTCTTGCTCTGTCACTCCTTTTTTGTCACAGGATAGGGAAATACATCCAGCCATGTCTTTGACCCCAGTCAATCTATTAATCCACTGAAGTTTTATTACTACTTAGCCTTTTGTGGAACAAATTCAGGTCACTATTACAAACCTTTCTTTGTCTTCAGAAAGTGCATGTACTTCCAAGCATTTGAAAGTACAGCAGCACTTACTAGCTGTGACTAGGTAGACAGCAGGTGACATTCCCGACCACACCTTGTTCTGCAGGCTGAACTGTGCTCCTGTCTGTGCACCAAACGAGTGGTTTGTGAACACTTTCACCAGCTGCACAGCGGTAACAGCTGTCAAACAGTTTTGCTGTCTAAGAGGGAGAGCCCACAAAACCAGAAACCACCATAGTAAGGAACTAAGCAAATTAACAGAAAACACCCTGTGCCAGGCATTTCTTTACTGACACCCGTAGTTCTGCTGCTTGTCAAGCTTTGGTAAGGGAACTTGCAGTGGTGTAAATTACACACACTACACAAACTGCCTACCATTGACACCCAAAAACTGATAAATGAAATCAAAGTACTTTCTGGGAGTTACAGATCACAAAATCCCGAGCATTTTATCCCACAATGTACATCCAATTGATTTAACAGGATGTTTGCTGGTGGACAAGAAGACTGGTAAGAGTGTCATGCCAAACCCAGCTTTGTGATGAACACAAGACATGGTACACCAGCTGAATTCAAGATGGTAACTTCGCTGCAGTCACATTTACAGTTCTGTTAAAAAAATCTGTTCCGAGGAAAAATCTACCCTGCAAAAATTACCTGTATAAGAAAAAGAGAGGATTTCTTTTTATAGCTGCATCTAATATTCCTCAAAGATGAACAAGATATAAGCACTAGCATCCTCATACAAGCAGCTTTTAGACTTGTGAGGTAAAAAAGTGCTCCCTTGATTATTTCTTCTCATTTTTCAAAAGAACATATGCATAGATAAACACATGCTATTTCAAAAGCCCATTGGTTCCTGTCAGCCCAATGTTTTACATTAGCTAGAAGCATTCTGGCTCACAAAACACATTCTTAAAGAAATGCACACCCATGAAGAAGCATCTGAAAACAGAACTGGTTGCTTCAAAAGAAAATACATGTACCAACTAATAGAGGGAATTCTTTCTGGCTTCTTGTATGTTTGTGGTATTACTTGTTGGACAAGACTTGGTAATGGTCATGACTTATCTGACACTTGTGTTTCAGATGTTGGAGCCTTTCTGATTTCAAGGTGTGCCTTCACTCTGTCAACTCATCCATCAGGTTAACAACATTTGAAGTGTTGTTCAAACAGCTAACAACATTCAGCTTATAGGTGGGAGGGGATCTTGCTAATAATAGGATTTTCTTGACATGCTTAAATATTAATTGCTTACACCTGTGATGACTGCAGGCTGTTTTATCTCTTCTGACATGGAGAAGGGAGATCCTGGCTCCTGGAAGCTTAGTCAGAAGTAAAGAACACCTAGAAGGAGATAACATCAGTGTAATAGGGTGGATGGGAAACAGAAACTAAGGAAAACAACATGTCTGAAAATGCTTGAAATCCTTTTTGCTGACTAGCCAAGAATAGAAACAAGGCACTACACAAACTGTTCAGAAAAGCTGGCCTTTTATGTAGAGGATCCACATGAGGAAGCAAAGAAACAAACACAAATTAAATAGCAAAATATCCTATCACTGTCTCCATCACACTAAGATTTCAAGGGCTCTGGTCATATAGTTTTTTCTTGAGGTAAATGACTCAAACTAAAAGAAGATAATGAATAAAACCATTCAGAAGCTCAGTGCTCCACCTTGGGCATAAAGGCAATGTCTGCTTGATGTGCTTGCAGTTATTTTCAGGAAGCGTCTTCAGAAGAGCAATGTGAAATCCCCAAACTCCCAAAGAGTTAAGCTACTGCTTGAATCTTTGGGTTTTGACCACACACCGTCAGGCAGTTGGAAAGGTGGTGCTGTTTTCACAGCTAATACCATGGTGGAACCTGTTTTTATAACTTGTGTCTTCTTATCCTCTCCCCATGGCATCTTACCTTTATCTGTGTGCCTGATTTCTGTCCTTTGGAAAAGCACAGAGAAATCCTCTGCTGCACCTCAGCATTTCAGATGGGACAAGTGACAATACAAGAGGTCATGGTCTTAAGCTGAAGCAGGGGAGGTTTAGGTTGGACATTAGGAGGAATTTCTTTGTGGAGAGGGTCATTGGGCACTGGAATGGGCTGCCCAGGGAGGTGGTGGAGTCACTGTCCCTGGAGGTGTTTAATGAACAACTGCATGTGGCACTCAGTGCTGTGGGCTGGTTGACATTGTGCTGTCAGGTCATAGGCTGGACTCGATCATCTCAGAGATCTTCAGCTCAACTGACTCTGTGATTTTGTGCCCTGGAGCTGTGACGAGACCTTGGGAGGTCACCTCTGTGTCAGTAAATGCACAGCAGAAACAAGACAGCCTCCTCATTTTGACACATATGTATTGTATAAGTCACTGCTGTCAGCTTATACAACAGAGATCTCATTTATTTTTTTCCTTTCTAGCTGTGCTCACAATTTAAAGCATTTGTTTTGTGAAATAAATACAGCTATCTGCTCTCATGAAGTGAACCCTCTATCATCCACTCAAAATCCTTTATTTAGTGAGTAAATTATTTTTAATTATTAATATTTTAAATTTTATGTATTTTTAATTTATCAATAAAATCAAACAAAGAAATAAACAGAAAAAGCCCGAGTGCCACCTTGCACCAGGAGAGGCCTGGCTCTGCAGGCGGCCTGCGCTAGGCCGGAACCAAATGCTCGCAGCGCGTTTCCGCCCGAGCCGCTCCGCGTGGCGCCACTGCGGCCGGGCAGGGCCGCAGCCATGGCCGACACCGCCGCGCCGCCGCCGCCGCCCGCCGCCCCCGCCCCGGGGCTCCCGGCTGCTCCCGGCACCAACCCGCTGTCCCGCAAGCTCAACAAGATCCTGGAGACGCGCCTGGACAATGACAAGGTGGGTCGGGCGGCGGGACGGGCGGGGGCCGGATGAGCCGTCAGGGGCCGCGGGCCCCGGCAGGCTTCGCGGCGGGGGGCGAGTCCTGCCGCAGGCTCAGTTCCGCTGCGGAGCTGCGGGAGGGCCTGTGCTGCATTAATTACAAACAAAATCAGCTTTCGCTTCTCCAGCAACATGCCACGCTCCTGTTTTATCCCTTCAGATCGTAGGGAGGTTTGTATTACTTACCTCGGAAGGGCGCTTTTCAAGCCTTTTGTAATTTAAATGTGTTCTTGCATTGGATAGGTCATTCATTTACAGAAAGTAGTCTTATTGGTTAAAGCTGCTGCAAAATTGTGGACAAAGTTTTCTGTTGTAAGAGAAGAAGAAAGGCTCAGCAATTATTTTAGTTGTTTGCCAACTGATGTGGAGTGTGTTAAGGTAGCTTTTCCTCTAAAACCATTTATTAGGTCTACTTTATTTTTAATAAAACCATGAACTTGGGGTGAGTACAGACTATTTAACCTGCTTCTTTGTAACTGCATGCAAACTGAAGGCCTTTTTTATTTTCTAGGAAATGCTGGAAGCACTCAAGGCTCTCTCGACCTTTTTTGTGGAGAACAGTTTGCGCACCCGAAGGAACCTGCGTGGAGACATTGAACGACGAAGCTTGGCCATAAATGAAGAATTTGTGCACATATTCAAGCAGGTTAAAGAGGTAATGACTAGCATGACTAGCTATTTTGCAAGAGTACTGCTACATGATTTAAAGTTTAAAAAAAGAAAAAAAGATTAAAAGATATTTTAACTTTCCAGGACAGATATACTTTTACAGTAAAATAGTTTCATGTGTTAGAAATGTTGCATTGGATGTTTCAAACAGATCCAAGTCCCGAGTGAATCTTGATGTTTAGAGGTGCATTACTCTGCACTGACTAACAGGCAGCCTAGAGCAACAATGTTCCTTGTAACTGGGGCACCTAATTGTGGTGGGAAGCTGGGCCTGGACACAGTATTTCTGATTAAAAACACAGTTACTGTTATTTGACTTACTTAGGAACTTGAGAGTATAAATGAAGATGTGCAAGCAATGAGCAGCTGCTGTGAAGACATGTCCAGTCGTTTGAAGGTAATATATAAATGGAGGTGCCTTTAATATTTTTTCTTTTGAGGTGTGACTACATTCTTTTAAAAGAGTGAAGAGTTATTTTTGAGGATTAAGAGCAGCAGCAAGATGTTTCCATGGCATGCATGTTATGTTACTTTAGGATATTAATATGCTTCTTACTTGTTTAGAAAACATCAAGGAAGTAATTTTAATTTCTTCCAAATTGCAGTTCAAAATGCAGCCATATACCTATTTTGGTAATAGCAATGTGATATCTATGTGTATGTCAGAGGAGAGAAAAGATTTCATTAGATTGGATGTGTGTGAGATTTAAGGGTTAATTTGTGTATTTCCATTTAAAATGGCTTTTATATTGACATTGAGTTATGTGTCCATATAAATACCTCAAGTATATTCATAGGAAAGTATCTGGTGATTCAAAGAGGGAGACAAATCTGATATGCATCTTCAGTTTATTGGTTTTGTTTCTTAACATTGTCTCAATACTGATATGCAACAAAACCAATTCCGTTTCACGTTAATCCTGAATCTGTAATATTCCTGGCAGGGCTGGGGAGTGTAGGAAATTTGTCTTTTATGGTGCATTACTAAATCTGGCTTGGTTTTAGGGTACAAGTTCAAAATTCAGTGCGGTGATGCATATAAATGGCTTATGGATGCTGAAGTGTAGATGTTTTGCCAGAACAAATCTGTTCCCAATACAGCACATAAGTTATCATATGTGAATAAGAATCCTTCACCAAAAAATCCTGTGAAAATACTTGTTTTCCTCCTCATATGGGGGGGGCGGGGAAATATTAAATGCCCTCCTACTTAGGTAAATAGGTTTCACAGTCATTGTACAAATGCTTGTAGCTTGATGAACTTGTACTAAAAAAATGTGAGAGTACAGTGTAGCTAACTGCAGTACTTAATTTTCAGTTTTGGAAGGAACTGGGTAATGCACCTCAGAGGTCTCAGATCTCTTTGAACATTGTTAACGTGGATATATTCCCTAGTGCAGTTCAGGAACTGTTAGACTGAGCTCTTAGATGTGGAAATGAGTCAAGTGTCCATGCAGATTTTTGCTCTTTTCTGTCTTTAGATCATGAAGTGTAACTGTCGTCTGTGATATTTTTTTTCTTTTCCCAGAGTAGAGCCACCCTGCAGAGATTTCTTTTACTGTTGAAGTCAGTAGGTAGTTTTGTTCTGTGCCCCACAGGAGGTTTCCTCTAGAGCCCTGCAGAACTCATAACTTGTCTTGATTCAATCCATATTTTCCTTGCATGAATGAAGTTAATAAGCTCATGAATGAGATCTCAATTGTGAAATACTCTGGTGCTTTATCTGTAGTAGGACAGGAAGACTTGCAGGCATGTGCTCAATCTGAATAAGACAAAAATGAGCTAAATAGAGCAAATAGAAAATGCAAAGAGGAGGATTTGGGGCATATAATGCAGAAAAGTGTGCAAAGAGAGCATTATATGAAGAAAGCAGAACAAATGCAGGACATTAAAGAGAATATATTTGGATAAGCCAAAAAGCTTTTTAGGTCTGTTATTTTGTAAGTTTATAATGCCATCTGATCCAAATAACGATATATTGTCTCATCTGATGTTAGGGCAATTTTAGACTTGATAAATATAGTGGCTGAAAGAAGGAGCAAGTGCTAAAATGGAATTCAGTAGGGTTGAAGTATAATGAAATTGGTAACTAATATACTGAGGTGGGGAGAAAGAGAACAATATTTCTGTTTTGGATATACAAGAAACATCAAATACCAACTTTCTGATTTTTCTAGCATGTCTGACTCATTTCTGACAGTTACCTTGTTAGGTGAGATGTAAGCTCTTGTATTTTATTCGTAAAATAATGGCAATATCTGTCATGTATTTGAATAGACATATGTAAAATCTGGCTTCCTGGTATATCTAGCTATATTCAGAAAAAAAGCTTTCCTGTCCTACTGTTAGCATTGTTCGTGGTAATCGGTACTTCTGCCCAGAAAGAACTGAACAGGAAGCAAATTTCCTCTTTATTGTTTATTGAAATTTTCAATTAAGTTGGACATGAATTGTTACAGTCCTATTTTCACCTTTCAAAGCATTCCTCTACCTTTATTTCTTTTCTGTTGTAGCTAATGTAGTGGCAGATAGAAAAGCTGAAATCAGTGTGTATAGATACTTTTGTTAAACCTCTCATGGGTCTCAAGACTGGCATCTTCAGTTTGGCAAGCTTTAATTTGGCTAAAATACAGTTCTGAAATTTTTCACAGACTGTCTTTATTGCCATTTCCACCTCTTCGCTTGCAGTATTATTCTATACAGAATACATTTTGATTTTAGAATTTTTATTTTGTTAAGTCATCACAGTTTTTCTGCATAAGGG